CATGTTTGGATTCCTCCTACACCATTCTAGGCTCACTAAACGGCAGCTACAAATCCTGGGAGACGCGGGCCAATGGCAACTAGCATATGAACTAGGTTTCCAATATCCAAAAGAGCCAGACGACGAATCCACGACGTTCTCATCTTGCTGAGCGCGGACAAAACCACACAACGCCAGAGGTTCGCGTCGGGTGAGCTTGTGTGGATCGTCATCCCTTTTCCGCGTCGGTTGTGTCCGTGAGCATGAGAGAGAGAATCGTCCAGAGCGGGACCGTGCCCGAGCACCTGTATCGTGTGTTTTAAAGAAAGCGGGAAGCAGCGAAAAAATCCAATTGGCTGTCCCCTCGCGCGCGCGGTTCCATATAAACACTGTAGTATAAGTTAATTAACTGTTCTAAGGAATTTTTCTTTACAATTTTTTTTGTCCGAAACCCAAAATGCATGGCAGAGGGAAACCCCGAGAGAGAGAGAGAGAGAAGGAGAGAGATAGAGAAGAAGAGTACCGGAGACGCGGGGGCCTGACGTGTGACTTCACCATGACACCTACCGAAGTCCTCATAATTGAACTTTTTATAACTAATATACTTATGTGTATTTGTGTTTGCATTGGTTATTATTTAATTCGTTCCATTGAGGAAGAACTTTTTTCACTGTATGCTTTTGTATATACCCGTTTACCATATGTACCCCCCGAGAGAGATGATGACGATTTAAACGACATGCATGTGCTCCAATTCCAGCTGTGCCATCGGCAAGGGGGCATGTCAGAACCCAGTAGTTAAGTGCCTCGGCACAGCGGAATTTTCCACTGCGGTGGAGAACCCCGATGCAGAAAAGTTCCCGCCATCCTTATGCAAATATGCACACCATTATTGGCCGGTTCTAAATTATTCCTACATGGTGACTAGCAATCGGCTCGCTAGCCGTATAAAAGTTAGAGCAGTTTCTGCCCAAGTCGGAAAACTCTGCACCCATCTCAGAGTGAACTTGGCGGACTGATCAACCACCAACGACTCCCCGTCATTGACTTTCCCGACGTACCCCGTGTCCTGCATGCTCGTTGAATTGTTGTACTCCGTGTCCTGCATGCTTGTTGAATTGTTCACGGACATTTCACCTCGGTTTATAGAGCTCTCGTCCGGTTTGCAACTGTACCTGAAGTTAACTCTTTGCCTACGCTGTGTCCATCGACAGTGTAAGTAAAGTAATCTTGGTTTAATAGATACGCTTCTGTGCCTAATTCTACTCCAATACCCACCTGCTGTTTCCCGGCCTACCACTCAACCGCTACAGAAACGAGTGTCCCTGTGGCGGGCCAGTAGGGGGTGCTCCTGCATTGAGCCACCCACCTCACTGCGCCCGACCACCTTCCAGGCTCCGAGTGCCTCCCTGGGGGCGCCTCATGTCTGGTCGACCCCCTTCTCTCCTTTTTGGAACCCTTTCTGTTCCTTCCCAAAGTAGGGAGGCTTCTTGTCCAGCCCCTCGTGATTTAGCAACAGCTGGTCCGCAATTTCAGCAGTCTCTTGGATGGTTTTGGGGGCCCTGTCTTTGACTAGGGTTTTAAACTCCCTCAGACAGTGGTGATAAAATTGGTCCAGCGCTATGAGGTTTAGCGCCTTCTCTCTATTGTCAGCCTTGGCTCCGTCTGCCCATTTAAGGAGTCCCACACCTGGGCCGCAAAATCGGTCATTGTCTTCCCAGGTTGTGGGATGGTATTCCAGAATTTTTTCCAGAAATAATCCAGTCCTAACCTGAATCTTGAACACACAGCATTTTTAAAGGCATCATAGTTATCTGCTGATTCTGAGGGCAGGCTGTTCAGGACCACAGACATGTCACCCTTGACCAGAGCAGCCATGAGGAAGACTCAGAGAGAAAGAAGAGCTGGACCATCTGAAACTTGCTCTCTCTCTCAAAACTCATGATCAATGAACTGCCTGCCCCCAGAGGGAATGTCCACTTGTCTCTGGATGATACTTGTGAGTAAGCTACCTGAGATCTAACTAGATATATAGCTTGCCGTAACTCAGTTGTGTGATCAAAGGCTACCCAGCCATGGGAGTTTGCTCTATGGGATTTCTCTGATATTGCTCTACCCTGTACCCTATTCCAACCCTACCCCTTGTAACCAATAAAGTTCTCCTTTGTACCTAGTGTTGGAGACTTATTGGGAGTGGGTCTAGATTATGCCTTGGAGTCACCTTGGTTCAGCTAACTAAGGGAGAGCACTACTTGTCCTTCTGACCTGCGGGAAGCATCCGAAGTTCTTGAATTGAATCAAGTACCCTCGAGGGCTACTAGGCCTGTGTTTCCCAAGGTGCACAGAGCCAGAATCAAGCCCAGCCCTGGGTGGTGGCAGTGGAACCCCCAGGCTAGTGGGTGTGCTCCAGGAAGGGGGTCGGCCAGACATGAGGCGCCCCCAGGGAGGCACTCGGAGCGTGGAAGGTGGTCGGGCGCAGTGAGGTGGGTGGCTCAACACAGGAACACCCCCTACTGGCCCGCCACAGTCCCCATTTATTTAGTATGTAATTGTGACTACAAATCAAATGAAGACGATGAAATGGCAGTATAAAACCCATCTATAAGTGTTCTCATGGCCCTCTGAAACCCAAGTTCTAGTTTGCATCAGTCTTTC